TGATTTGTTATTAAAGCACTGTATAACAAAGCATGGAGTTGACTTCAGGGTAGACTCATATTTTTTCTAAATTTGTCTTGTTTCTGATAATTTATGAGAGGATTTTCCCATTCCTATTTACTTGCATGTGTTTTGTGTGTGTGTGTGTGTGTCAACACACACACTCACACACACACACACACTTATATACGATACAAGTTAAGAAATAATTTTCACTTATATTCGATACAGGTTAAGAAATAATTGTCTTAAGGGCGCACAATATACATTTCTTTGTACACGAGCAAAAATGTAACCCCCCGTCAGCAAATGTTCTTCGCAGATTTGGCTATTCGCGGCCATTTTGAGAACCTCGCCCCCACGAATTTTAAGGGCATGCTGTAACATTATTTTCCCAGAATTTACATATTGATACTAATTACATTATATACAATAAATGTATTCATAGGTAATCTTAAATCATAAATAACTAGCTATTTAAAGCATATGTTAACTGTTCCCCCCTACAGTGTTACCAGATAACCTGCCGCCTCATGTCATGCAGGTTGGTTCGGGGCAAACTTCTGTTGCTGACTGTACATTCACAGGAGTAGCTGTAGCTATCGTTGTCAAACATCTTTTAGTTTATATCTTAATTTCACAGGCCCACTTTTATGTTTACAGTGTCCATTCATTCCTTTCATCACATTACCTCAACTGCTAAGACTCTCTTCACTATTTCCCTGTTAAATCTTGTCACTTATCTCTGAAGCTAAACAGGGAAAATGGTGGTGGGGGAATCTTGAGAATATTACTGTACAGGTATAGTTATTATAATATGTAATGGATTTTTCCCTTTTGCTGCACATGCAATAATGTGAAATCTAACCTTTTAATGGCAAAAAAGAAAACGTTTTATTTATTATTTGGTTTTCTCCTTTCACATAGTAATACAGGTATACGTCTTCAATATTCTGTGTAGGTTTTCCACTTCCAATTTTATAGAAAAGGCAATAGACTCTTTCTCTTTGACAAATAAACCAATAATACATCTTTTGCTACTGTGTAACATTGATTTTGAATTCAGAAAAACTTAATAATTTAGAAGCAAATTGAGTGTATTGCAGTACATTATCCCTGAACTGTTATCTTCATGTTTCTAGCAGTAGCTAGAGGGCACTGGGCTAAGGGGGGCATACTCCCCCCCCCATGCAGGTACTGTATGTTCTGGAAAATGTAGAAAACACTTAAAAACAATTCTAATCCTACAAACTGATCATGCATGATGTAAACAGTAAGGAAATGCAATGTATTTCTTACTGGTTGACATCTTAGAGGTTAGGAAGTGTTGAGAATGTGTGTGAGACAGTGGGGTGAGGTTGGCAGTATGTGGCACACAACACTTTTGTAGATAGAATGAGGTACAGGATATTGTTTTATTATGTTATTACTATTTACAGTACTGTATATACAGTAGTAATAACTTAATAAAAAAGGTGTCCTGTACCTCATTCTGCCTACAAAAGTGTTGTGTGCCTCGTACTGCCAACATCACCCCACTGCCTCACGCATGCGTCTCTTCCTAGCCTCTGTGATGCAAACCTATAGTGAGTACATGTTTCTCTTTACTGTGTGTCATGCATGACCATTTTGTAAGAATGTTTTTGTTTTGTTTTTTCTTGAATACACATGCATGGGGAGGTTGGGGGGTGTACAGTACTGTAGCCTGGTGCTGGGGGGTTAAGGATGGGGAAAGAGCACTCAAATGACAATGCACATATTACTGTTGATAATAAAATTTAGCCGTGTACAAGCTGACTGGGTTTGCTTGACACTGAATGGATGATTTTGGAATGCATGAATTACCAAATTAAGAATAATTATCAATACAGTCAGTCCCCGACTACAACAGGACCGACGACCAGGTCGTAAGTCGAAAATGCAAAAATAATACATAGAAAATCTAAAATGGGTGTCTCTTTTTCTTCTCAGCACCAGAAGAACTCTCACTTTTACGCTTGCCAGCCATTTTAAAGGGAATTGCAAACGAAAATTTTATCAGTACACAGGGCGATCACTAACGTCGGGATTCGAAAATATGTAATTTGAAAAAAAATTTGTACGACAGGCGGTCGTATGTCTGGGTGGTCATTAGACGAGTAGGTCATAAGTCGAGGAGTACCGTACCTTCTTTTTTTATATCATACTTTCCGAACATAGACTAATTACACCATCCTTAAAGACATTTAATAGCTGTAAACTCATCATTATTCATCATCTATGGAATTGAACTGTATTTCTGAGCAGAAATCCTGAGAAGGAAAAACAAAAGAAGCTTTCTGAAATGACAGAGATAAATTAGTATCTGCACGAAATCATCTCGAACCCCAGTAAGTGATATCTCCGTTAGCTGGAACAATTGGTGCAGAGCACTTCTGGGAATGAGAGATTTCCGGGTAACAAGACGACTCTCTCAAAGCCTGAAAAAATCCCTCCTCCCCGGAATTTTCCAGGTAACAGAAAAATGTTCTCAGAAGTTTCAGAAAATGCACCTGATTTTCATCTCTCAACCCCAGAAAAATACTCCTTTACCCCCAGAATTTTCGGGTACTGGGAAAATTTTCTTGGAATTTTCCCGAAAATGTGCCCCTCGAAAATTTTTTGCAAAGCGAGATTTTTCTGGAAAATTACGGTTAGAACGATTTTCCAAAAAAATTTCAATTCCGGCTATTGGAGAGTTCCGGTTAAGAGGCATTCCAGTTAACGGAGATATTACTACTAGAGTTTATTTCATCGAACACCATAAAACTACAAATTGATAGTAACTTTTGCTGGTTTTCAAAAGAAGAGCTAGGGATCATGCTTCTGTACACGAGGTACTGTACATTAAAAAATTTGCACTTTGGGTCCCTATACTGTACAGTATTACCTAAATTTGGAAAAAGTAAAGAAACAGACAAACTTGTGTTTTGTGTTGTCTGTTAATGGTGTTTAAAGGTTTTCACTCGGTCACACCATGGCGTTCACAACACTGAGCACCACGAAGTAACCGAGTGAAAACCGTTAAACGCCATTGATGGGTCACATGATAAATCATGTGATGCCTGATAACTCTCAAGATCATGTCACATTTTACTGTAACATTAGGCTACATTTGTGCAAAATATTTGGTTCCTAACTGATATAGTTTTTAGCGCATGGGAATTATTTAGGGTTCTCGAATAAAAAAAATCGCCTTGTACTTTCAGTACAGTAAGACCCCTATAAGTCAGACTTCTCTAAGCTAGAAACCCCCATAAGACAGATGAGCTCTGGCTTAGGGGGGGTTGTATGGGGCAGTAGTTAAGAGTCGGTTCCCCCAGTGCTTCCCAAGTGTATCATTATGGCTTCTAAAGCAACTACAGTACTGTACTGTATATGGGTATTAGCAATTGTTATTGCTGCTTCTAGCAATTGATCACAAATCTACTCATTGTCAAGATCCCTACTACACTTGCACTTGGGAGGGGGGACACGTGGTGAGGCGCATAAAGTCGAAGGACGAGATTCCTCCATCACAAAAACTGAGAAGGGAGGCTTGCATTCATAAGAAAGCAAAAGATAAATGCCTACCTGGCAACATAATCTAGCCAGGCCAGCATGGAGATTCAAATGGTAACACAAAATAGTAATGTGTAATATGACGGGAACCAGAGCCCCATTAGTGTGCATCTTATGGCGGGAACCGAAACTTGGGTGTTAAAGTTATGGATCTGTTCCAGGAATTGTGTCATCAAGGCAGTACTTGCCATGGAGCAGATGTGTATTTTGATATAAGCTTCAGTACTGTACTACAAAGACCCTGTGGGCACAGAACAGTTCTGTGGGGCTGCTCATGAAAAATCATGCTAGATTACAGTGACACCCTCATGAGATCTTACAAGCTGTGGTAGCTTGTGGTTGTGGTACTAAAGTTTATAAAATGACCCGTATTAGTCAGCTGATCTCCAACTTTAATTGCATTTTCTTTGAGACTTTTCCCCGTGCCATTAGTGTCCAACTGCAATTGGTATCAAATGTGCCTGTAATTTTTCTTGGAATTATGAATTAAAAGTACTGTAGTACAGTCCCCCCAAAAAGTATTGTTAGCCATGGGGCCGATGTGATTTGAGGCTTTCCGAGCAGTGTTACTTGACCTATTTCTGAACGTTCGGTAATTCTACATCCACTACCTTTGAGCATGAATGAGTATACTGTATACATTTTCGAATGATACATACGAGCAAAATACACTTCAACATTTGGAATCATGGAATGGTAGCCTGAGTAGTAAGAAGTGAATAAGTTGTATATTAGATGTTCTTTACACTTTCAGTCTTTTTTTTTGTAATCCGTCTCTAAAATGGGATAACCTGAAGATTACCCCCTGGCTTATTTCTCCTCAAGATTAACCCAACCCAACCCAGCCCCCCAAGTAGTGGTAGGGTATTTTAATCATCAGGTGAAATAAGCTAGGGAAGATATTTTTCAGGTGATCCCTAAAATACATGCACAGTATCTCAAAAAAGTATCTGCTAGGATGAGTCCAATGACTTCAGAAATGCTACATGCAATTCGTGATGTCCCGGGAGGGTTGGTATGCGTGGCTCTGTGGCATACTGATCCTACTACATTTGTTAACCAAACATATTAATTATGCCAAAATAAATACACAATGCATTACTTATGTTAAACTATATACCAAAGTTAATGCATGTCCCAATATCTATCATCCGTGGTCTCAATGTTTCACACCGACTGTGGATGGATATGTTTTTGAGATACTGTACTGTACAGTATCTTGAAAATAGGTCACAGTGACCTTCAACAACCTTGATAATTAATTGGCTTTAAACTTCTTACTTGTAAATCTATCCTACAAATGTGAGACCACTTGGCCTTTGTAATATTTAATTAGTAATTGATTTTTTCTTAAAGTCAGGTCATGGTGAACCTACCCTTATAAGCTGGAATTTATTTTTTGTCTTTTAACAATTCTTCAGATAATATTGGACAAAATATGATACAGAACAAAAGAAACACCTGAGATTAACACTGTTGCCAACCTGGTGGAGGAGAACATATATGAGGGCCTCGGAAGCACAAGGCAGCAAGCACCACTGCAGGGGAAATGGAGTTATTGGTACCAACATATTCTCTAAGTTGAGTTCTGTCTGTAGAGCTTGGATTTGCAGCCTTGTGTTACTCTTACATGGTCGAAAATAGGACTGAAATACATTGGTTTGTGGTTGTGGAGTAACAAACGAAAAACTTTAGGGCCTTGTTTCTCACTTTTTAAAAAACAGTGCTTGCAGCCTTGTGAAATCATCACCATGACATGACTTTCACTCTTATTATACAGTAGTTGTGTTCAATTTGGTAGTTTTACACTTGTACCCAGACTTAAGCTTGATTAGTACAGTTTTTCAGCACTCATGCCATCTATTTGTTAGCTCCTGCTTATAATCAAAATGTCTTGTGAAGGATTCAACATACAGCCCCCCTTTCTTTTCACACTAAGGCTTCATCAGATTTACAGTACTGTACTTCCTGGATAAATGTGTAGATAAGTGTCTTATATCTACTTAATATTAGTTGCTGTGGGGGTATTTCACTGATTTACAGTGGTTGTTTACACTATTTATCCACCATAAACAAGAAAGGACCCTCTCTGTTCAATGATTAGGCCTATCTCTTCATATAACTTTCTGATACTGTACTTGTTCAGTACAGGCAGGTCCCGGGTTACAAACGAGTTCCGTTCCTGGGGATGTGCTTAGTCGAAAATGCACGCAAGTTGAAACACATGCTATATGCATACTGTACTTTAAAGAACAATGTTTAAAATCCCACTATATCATAACCTAAGTCTTGATGTACATCTAAAATCAATTAATTTAAGAGAAAAGAAATAGAAGGACAAACACAATAAATGAAAGTAAAAATTAAGTCATTGGGTAAATAAGATACCTGTAGGTACTGTAAATTTCAAGTTTAACCCTGTTCATATCGCCAGATGTTTGAAAGTCAGACACTCATAAACGGGAATGCCTGTATGTAAGAATGAAGCCTTAAGCTTAGTTTGTTATTAAAATTCAGTCAAGTTTTTATGTAATTATTGATGTAAATTACTGGTGTTCATTTAATTTTGAACATAGTGTTAGGAAGAACAGGAATACCAACTGGTTCATATAACTGGTGTACGTATCATTGTGCCACATGAAAATAGATGCAATTATGAATTATTGTGATTATAGGAAAATGTGGTTGAGTCATGTATTAAGAGGTTCTAAACTACAGAATTTGATACTGTAGTTGTTCAATAAATACAGACAGTATGGTATATATTTTTAAAGTATTGTTGCTATGTGAACTGAAAAATAATTTATTTTGTAATACTATATTTGTCTTCATTATTTTTAAATGCATCTTCACTAATCACTAACTACAGTACAGTACATGTGATATATGGTCATTATATAACTCAATACTGTTCATTTCATGATGTATGTGCTTGAAGCTTGTTTATGTTTGAAGCTGTAGCTTTCTCTAGTTTTTTGGTATGCCACTGTGACTGTTGCTTGTTTGCCAAGATAACATTCAAGCTCTTTATTCATTTAAAAAAATATATTAAAAGAAATTGTCAAGAAACTTAAGTATGAAAATGGGAGGGTTTTTTTTTTTTTTTTTTTACATGTGTTTTTGAGCTGTTTGAAAAAGTACTGGTTAATATGTTTCTATGTATTCATGTTGGTTAGTATAATGTACAGGCATACCCTGATAACCGACGCATATACGGACTGGGAAAAGTCGTTGGTAGTGAATCGATGGTTATCAAAGCAATTAATCCCATTAGAATACAAGTAGAACCAATTCAGGGGGTTAGGGACCAGCCACCCTCCAAAAACTCCCATCTAACCTTATATATCTTTGTCATCACACTGTAAAGCAAGAAAATAAAGCAAGCATAATAAGCTTTAAATAGGCAAAGTATAGCATAAATTGAGTGTTGAAGATGGTAGAAATAGTTTAGGTTGGCAAGTTCAAGTCTCTACCAATCTTTGCTGGTCCATTGCCACTATCATTAACCCTTATTACACGTTGTCACATCACATCAAGTTGCCCAGTATGAGAGGAACTATCACAAGGGCATTTAGGAATGATTGCATAACACATGAAGTCGAAAATAACGAAAAAACAAAGTCAGAGAAACATGGTAAGTGTAAATAAGAGCACATAGCCCTCTCGTGGCAACAGTTCACACCACATCACCGTCTGCCAAATTCAAAACAGCCCTGCTGCTCCTCTCCCGATCGATGGATCTTCGAGGTATCAACAAAACTTGCGGGGAGTTTCCTTTATATATGTAATCGTCGGTTATGCAAATCGGTAGTTATTAGGGGCGTTGGTTTTCGTGGTATACCTGTAGTTGTGTACTATTTATTACCAGTTAGGGTTTTTCTTGTTTGTAAACCAATTTTGTTTTTGAGTATGGTGTTGGAGTATTTTTGTCATTGGAGAACTGAACCCAGTTTTCCCATTTATTGTTATTCGAGTTATGGTATCGAGGAATACCTGTATATTAAATGGAGGTTGATGTGTTACGACTTCAAAGAATACATGAAAAACCATTGGAGTTTCAGGAAAAGTTATCTTAAAAATTGCACTTCCATAGTTAATGATTCATAAATGCTTGACAAATTAATATGTACAGGACATACCCTGATATCAGTTACTGTATAAGGGTTTCATAGACAATTCAGCAATTTTGGCCCTTACACCAGCCCTCTTGGCCTGGAAAGCGGGAGCATCAGTTGTTACACACCACACCCATCCATAGTGCCACCTTGACCACCGTCTCCACACTATTTACAAACTGAATATGCAGTACAGTACTACTTGTTTGTCGAGTGAAATATTGTTGTTTTTAATTTGAAGATTTACCCACCTTTCAAATCATATATTTTTGTTTAAAAGCTCATCTTGAGGGTTGGATTGTACTCCAGGCACCACAGCCAGCTGCAGTGCATTACACTCGTCCACCTGACAAATTCAAGTACCATCAACCACCACTATGTCCAAATTGTTTACAAGCTTTAATTATTTAGTTTTAGTAATACAGTAATTAAATTTTTTTATTGAATTACAATATTTACCTAACTAAAAGAAATATAAGTTGTTTTAAAACCTAAAACTGTGAAAGAAATTACAGTTCAGTATATACTAATGCACTGTACATGTTTTAAGGCACAGCACCAAAAGTTAAGCCCCATTTCCAAGATGCAATACTTGAGTTAACTTAAAATTTCATTAATGTATGATTGTACTTCATACCAAATTAAAAAAATTTGTGGATTACTTTATCTTATAAATGTAATGCTGTGAAACCTCATTAATCTGGATGAGTCGGGGGGAAAGGTGATCCGGATCCAAAATATCCAGATTATTGCAAATTTCAAAACACAATGGCCTACCACAGAAATAATTGACAAATTCAGAGATGTAATAAAAAAAAAAGAAACATGTAAAACACATAAACGAGATTTATTTAAAGTGCTTACTTTTAATTCCAAAGGCCTCCTGAAGGTCGTGTAGTGTGGGGGCAGTTGTTTTAACACGTATCATATACTACAGTAGATACTGTACTACTAAATAACTCATTTTGAGTCACTATCTCAAAGATCTGCACTTATAGTTCTTTATCAGACTATTCAGATTGTAAAATCTGTTAAGGTTCAGGTGGTGTAGTAATAGCACTGATATTTGACACACCTCTAAGACTTTAACCAAAAGTGGAAGGATCAGGAATTGACACAGTGCTTGACAGATTCAGAGACGCTTGCCATGTGATCCAGATTAACGAGGTTTCATTGTATAATGCTTGTACATGTACTGGTGAAGATGGAAGTTGACTATAATATTTAATCATCATTGAAAACATGATTGTTACTGGGACACCACATCTGTTTCCCCTTCTGTCCCTCAACAATTTCTTGTCTCCCTATAACTTAGCAACTGGTTAACATTTTGCAATGAATTTTTTATATCATCACCTATTGATGTGTTTCATACAAAATTCATGACCCCGTGCTCAAGGTACGTGTTCTCTGATATTTGCACATTCTGTGGGGCCCTTGTGGTCATGTCACGTTTATAGTTGCTCATGAATTTCTAGAACTAAAAATGTTAAATGTGCTTGCTTGCTTTTTTATTTAAAATTACCTAACAAAATGTTTGTGTTTGAGGAAGTTAATAAACACGAGAAGAACTTTTTATAATGCATTAGTTACAACTTTGGTAAAGACATTAAACAAAAGTGAAACTTTTGTTTTATTTTTAAATTAACTGTTAAATGGACTTTTTTGTGTTGGAGTGAAAATGTATTTTGCTATTAACCTTCTTCCACATAGGTAAATAATTAACATCAATTACTAGCTTAATGCCTTCTGCCAGACAGCTCATTTATGCACTCACTAATCTGGGGATCTCAGGCAGCTGGCAGCCCCCATCTAGCAACTGGAGGTTGATCTTGCAATCATGCATCTTTTCCTTTTACAAAATTATCTTCTTCAAAATGGATTGGAAGCAATGGTTACTCTCTAGAGGTAGAAGTGTTTATGAAAGCCATGTCTATCTAGCCAGTACAGTTACTCCTTTTGCACCACAATCATTGACTGCCGTCTTGATTCCAAAATTTATGCAACCTTTTGGGAAAAGTTCCTAATTGACTTAAATGAAAAGTAAATGTCTCTCTCTAGCTTTACCTTACTTCTGAAGAGCTCCTCTAGTTAATTGTGACTGGGTATGTTACATAGACACTAATGCTACATCAGATGTCTTGCTTGGAGCAAGCGATATCATTTCAGTGGATGTGGATTCCAGGTCTTTTGTCATATTGTTTCCCTAGGAATTTGTCCTTCATTGGACTCGTTAGGTAAAATTATCACTAATTATCTGTATCTCAGGAGATTTAAGAAATTGGATGCACTTTCCTGGGTCCAAAATCAATGGGCTTCAATTTGTCTGTTCTCTCCACTATACTAAATGCCAAATTTCTCAACTGAGACATTTCTTAGTATATGTACTACAATACTGTACCAAGTACAGTATATTACATCAGTGGGTCTTTTTTTAGGAAAGGGTAAAAAATTTTGCCCATCTTCCCATCACATTTTGGCTTGTCCAAAGAATGTTCATTGATTTTCTCTGACTTTCAGTCGGATACCAAAGTGAGTGTTGGTCTCTTTACTCTCTTCCTTATCTTTCATTGTCCTTGTATCTCATTAATGTACTGTAGATTAGTTGGTTCTGTTTTGTTCCTCTGCCCTAATTAGCATGATACTGACTTAAATGTTCTTGAAGGGTTTTATTTGACTGGTCTCTGAGTGAATGCATGTCAATCATCCTTGGGTTCTGGGTGCTGATGTCTCTTATTTTCCCTGAGGTTTGAGGATGAAACCAAAGGATTTTGAGATACAGCACAGAAGAGTTACAGGATCAGAATTCTTTCAGTAACCTCCTCTTCTTGCTATGTACAGTAGTTGAGTTAACTTCTCTGAAGTGCTCATCTTCTTAGTCCTTGGAGCCTTCATATTACATTTCACTCTTTTTAGTTGACGATGGAGAATTCATCCTGAAATCTCTCCTCTTGCAAAATCCATAGCCAATTGGTACACATCTTCCTCCTTCTTGGGGTTCTTGGGTAGTCAGTTGAAACTAAACCAAAATGGTGGATCTACCTTGAAATCAAGATGACAGTCCATGGCTATGGTATTATGAAGTGTCTACTTGATACAGATTTGACTAATTTGACTTCCTGCCTCTAGAGACAATCCTTTGCTTTGTATTCCCTGTTCCAGAGAGATAGTTGGAACAGAGGGATGAGCAATCAAAAAGAACAGTTCCTAGCTGTTAAATGTGGCAGTTTACTCTCCAGACCTCCAGAATAGCTTGTACATTAACAAAAGCCACTTAGCTTTTGGCACTACTAGAAAAGAGATTTCAGGATCAATCCTGCATTTTTCTCTGTTGTTGATGTTTCAGAGTTAGGTTATGTTGATGGAATTATAACTAATGTAGAAAAATTTTTTCTAGATGAAGTTTGTACTTTATCATGGCATTATATGTAGGACAAAACCATAAGATAATAGAGCAACACCAGTCTTATAATTTTAGCTATAGACGTGATATTTATACGATTACTAATACATTTCAGAGACCACTCAAGCTACCGAAACACGAGAGCTGACGGCTTCAATAATCGTGCTGAAGGTTTCTTAAGATAAAGGCTGCTGAAAACATCCTTAGTGACCACGTGGCAGTTGTCTTCAGCTTATGACAATATTAGATTCTACATGAATCATCTGTCCAGCTTAGCAGTGCAGTGTTAATGGACTTGTGTCTAGAACAGCAAAAAACAGTATCTTTACAGATACTGAAAGATAAATGCAGAATCTAAGTGGGAATTGTTTTTTCAGTCTTTTGAGATGTAATCTCAAGAGAACTACAGTACGTATATTGATCATTTGTTATGGTAGACGCTGGGAGGAGTGAAGAGCTATGTCGAAAACATTGGTGAAAGACTTCAGAAATTTTAGGGGATGAAGGTCATTGGCACCCGAGGTATGCACATTAGAGGAATAACCATTTTGGGCAGTTTGGGATACTGTATTTATTTATTTAATTTTACTATTAGAGGAACACAGTGGCACATCACTTATCAAAAAGGTTTGCAACATGATGCACCTGTAGATTCTATACCAAAGGCACATTTATGATACACCACATCAGTAGTGCAATCAAAAGTAAATTGAAAATATTTTTTTTATATAGTATATTTTTGGTCCAAATAGATCTCAAAACCTATATTTATTTTAATATAAAGGGGTTCTAAATAGATGTAACACAAATGTGGTATGAAAAGATTGTGTGTGTGTTTTAACAGGACTAGATAACCCACTCATTGGCTCTAGTGTTTCCACGCTAACCTGGCCCATAAGCCACGCCCCTTGTCTATAGCTACAAATAGCTGATTGGTTCATAGAAAATGTTAATGTAGCTGTCTATTTATTCAAACTAAATATGTTCACAATTGATAAGCAGACCTGTTATTCTCTAAAATAATGTTAAATATAACTGGACTATCAAAATGCAAATGATTTCAAGGCTGTTAAAATTTTTTAAATATTTATCATAAAAGGTCAAAGTCACAGATGAAATTTGCTTTTGAATGAAGTCTTTTCATATTTCTTTGTTTTGTACCAAACATAAAGCAAACAGAAACAAATGAGACCAAAAATATAACACAATATGTATGAACTGCAGTTTGTATGGCTGTATATACAGGTATCACAAATCATATACTGTATATAACTTGACTGCAAGTAGTGCCCGAGATAATATCACGGAGTTGATTAACAACTGCTGACTTACCCAGAGGTGGAAATAGAGCAGAAGAAAAAGTGAAAATAAAGGGGTCATCAACCAAGTGGATATAGCACTTGCCTCCTGTCCTAAGGGTTAATGATTCATACCCAGGGCATCTCCCCCCCCCCCTTCCCAATTCATCCAGTTAAAAATTAGTACCCCTAACTTTACAGTCTGGGAAGTGAAAGTAGTTAAGTGCTGGCCACACTACCTCCTTGTATACCAATGTTCAACTTTTGCAGCTCCTTGACCAACAACTGAGCCTGTGGCTCTTAAGTGCTCATTAAACAGGTTAAATGGTTGTGCTCAACTGTAAAAAATAAACAGGAAATTTGCATTAATACACTGTTAAAAAACCTACTGTAAATGAAATTGTAAATCATTGAACACCACACTACAATAATTAAAGGGGTCACTTAAAACCCTACTGTATGCCAACTAATGCCACTTGCTATTGAGCAAATGGATTATTGTTAAATCCTGTTAAAATACTGTACACAAACGGTTCTCATATACAGTAATATTAAAATCAAAATATAAATTTAAAACCATTATACAGGAATGAAACTGCATTACAGTATATTAATACCTGTACAGTATAGTCGGATTGATTTGGGCAAAAATAATAAACTAAATATAGTAATGTACAGTACAACAAAACCTCCCCAAAACTGGCACTTATTTAGAATATTGTATTATATATAAAACTAAAATGCAGTACCAGTCTGTAAAATCCAACCATTAACTTATATTCCAAGACTTCTCATCCTCCACACTTTGTCTCGTGTTTATACAGTACCGCCTTTTGGTGTTTTCTTGGTTTTATGCGTGACTATTTTCCCATTACATGGTGTCCTTATCGTGTCTTCCAAAAGACCAGCAACCAGGCACTATTTTATTGTTGCCTAACAATATAACATCTTTTACTCTAACATTCACAAAAGGTCAAATTATTAACCAACCCAAATGATTTCCATAGACTGATAATTGCTAGGTTCTCAGGGTGCTAGATTTAAGAGGTTTTACTGTCTGTTCAGTAACTTTTATTGTTTATGGTGATACTATGTATGTACAGCTCCCTGACTTACGACCTGCCTCAGTTGTACCAAAATTTGGTCAAATTATGTATTTTCGAGTCCCAAAGTCAGTACACAGACAAAATTTTCATTTGTAATTAACTTTAAAATGGCTGGCAAGCTTAAAAGTGAGTGTTTTGTGGTGCTGAGAAGAAAAAGAGACACCCATTTTAGATTTTCTATGTATTATTTAAGCATTTCCGACTGACGACCATTTCGACTTATGACCTGGATGTCGGTCCCTAACCCCGTAGTAAGTCGGGGGGGAGCTGTATAATCTACTGTGGGGGGCAGCATGTTGTAAATCTGTGATAACACTGTGATGTGGGTAGAAAATTTGATGAATTCTCCTCAAATTCTTTCAGTGTGTTTGAAATCTACGAAGGCTGTTGGTGCCTGAAGTATACACTTGAAGGAAGCGGTTTGAATTGTACAGGAATTTATGTTTTTATTTAATATTTTATTTTCAGTGTTATGGGGGAGTTATTAGAGGAACTGGTCTCGGAGAATTACAAAGTCACTGGCTCTATTTTTATTCACTATAGATTGTCATTTAGTTTCTTTACTAGTTTTTTTTTTTTAAACATGAAAGAATCAGGTTTAATAGTTTTATTCATTTCCTTCTGATGTAAGTTAGTAAGTGATGAGTGTAGTAAATGCTGAGAGGGGAGAGTGAGTGAAGAGTACAGCAAGTAGGGGTAGGCTGCTTGTTGTGGCAAGAATACACAGGGGACGGGCATCACTCAAGCTACACCCAACATAGTACCCCAGCACACCACTAACATTCCCATCACTATCATGCTTTAATACGTACTGTAAAACAATCTCCTCCCATTTCGTATTTCTATCATGAGGTTGTTTTCTTTGTTTGACCGTTACACACAAACTTCTTGTATCCACTAACCTTTAGCCCTTTCAAAATAATTAAGGGGAAGAAAAACTCTTTGGGACAACCTCTGTAGCATGAATAATTATGTGTCATGCAGTTTGGAGGGACATATGTAATTGACCAGATTTGTTGTGCGAGATATTTACCAGTACTCTCAATTGCACACCTAAGGTCAGCACCCACACCTCAGTGGACACCCTCATCAATTAATCTTTGAACAGTTCTGATAGGTCAGGAGAGGATCCAGGGGGAGGGTGTTTCCAGACCCCCCCTTCATCAGTAAATTCCAATACCTTTTCTTTAATGCAGTACAGGTAAACCTCAATAAATGATAAGGTTAGGTTCCTGAAAAATGCATAGCCAAGTGAAATACAGTATTGTAGATAGGGAGCATTATAACATGGGGTTCAATGGGATACTTTCCCAGCCACCAAACACACCTGTATCACCGACAAAAAATTCCTACACTCATAAAATCAATAGAAAACAATTAAACAACACTCACCACATCATGAAGAACAAGCCTGGTCATCATCACATATCTCCTTCGAGGCTAAGGGGACTCTTGTAGGAGGAGTGGAGACGTCACTCTTGACGCCCACACAGCTTCTGGGGAGGCTTACACAAATTATATGTTCACAGAGGCAAAACACTTAACAGCTACATGATGATAGGCAGATATGATCAACAAAGAACCAACCGCAGGACTGTAGTGTGTGGGTTGGCTGTGTGGCGACACACGGGTAGATATTACGGCGGCTGACAAGTGCAGCAAGAGATGCATTACCCATGGTGGTGCATAGGGTTAAATATGGTTTTCTTTTAAAATGTCACAAACTTCATGTAGAAAAATATAATTAACGTTGCTGGAATCCGTGTGAGACAGTGATTAATTTGAGTATATGCAACCTATAGTTTACACCAAGTGATAAAAAAAATTCCAACTAATGGATGTTGATCGTTAATTTTTTTTTTCATATACAGTACAGTATAGCGAGATGGTCTTAATTCATGACCCTTGTTAAAGCGGAATATCACTGAAAAAGACATCATTTATCGAGGTTTGCCTGTACTGTACTTGGGCATTTTTGTATGATAAAAAGTAATTACTATTGACCTCAGAATATCTCCTTAATATCAAGTGCACATGGCCTCAAAATGTCCATGTTATAAGTCTGTTTTCAAAAAATTTCTACGGGAGCTTACAGAACCCCCCCCCACCCCCCCGCTCTCTGTAGCGTCCGATACCATAATATCCTGACCACTGGGGCTAGTTATACAGACTTTTCCATGTGAAAGCCATACCATAATTTTGAGCAGCATATTACTGCACTCATTTTGTACGCATATGTACTATGCTAAAGGACAAAAAAATTTATCTCCTGTGCAAACTAAAAGATGTTTATACTCATTTTAATCGGTATCTTGCAAGAATTCCAGCAATGCAAGTTATATTTTCCTAAGTTAAGTCAGTAGGGATAGAAATTCACTTACGCTTGGCCGCCCAAAATATCAGAAGGGCGAGTAATTCTTACAAATTTTCTCGTCTTTAATCACCCAGCAGGTGACTAGCACGTCAGGATCGCAGTGTCTAGGAGATATCCAGAAGTATTGAACCAAAAATTATATTTTTGACAGTCTGCTTTACCATAAGGAAGTGTTTAGTGCCAAGTTTATAAAAAGCATTGCAAGAGCAACCATGTGTTTTACGCATGAACCAGCATGATTGGTCATTGTGCCCTGCTGCTCCCATAGATATCCCAGTTTGCACTACGCAAGAATTTTAATACAGTAAGTTCTTGCTTAACGTCAGGGTTACGTTCCTGAAAACGTGACGTTATACGAAACCACATTAAGCAGATCAATTTTCCCCATAATAGATAAAATACAGGAGTTATTTTCCCCAGCCTCCCTTTGCCCCATGAAAAACATTACATATACAAAAAGTAATTGCCATTTCTATATATATATATATCTATCTATCTATCTATCTATCTATCTATATATATATATATATATTAGTACTCACAGATGGGCGGAGGTGTGTGGTGGGTAGTAGAGCGGAGGAGGGTGGTGAGAAACTGAGACTCTGTGGCTGCCTCCTCCTCCAGCTCTGACTGGGGTTCCTCCGCCACTGCTTGCTCCTCCTCCGTTGTTGTTGTTTGCTCCTCCTCCGTTGTTGTTGTTTGCTCCTCCTCAGCTGCCGACTGTTGTGAAAAAGCTCCTTCTGCCGTCTCGCGACGAACAAATGAATCCAGTGTTGACTTGCTACTCTTCTTCTCCTTGTAGATCTCAGTGTAGCAACCAAGACTGTCCTCAATGCTGCAATGAACCTTTGAGCTATGTTCTCTGTTTGGGTCGTCATCTATAAGGATTTGCATTGCTTGCTGGAACATGTTGAACGATTCTGCCATCCTCTTGGAAGTCAGCGTTCGTTGAGGTTCTTCGTCGTCGTCATCTTCAACAGGACTGTGTTCTATCAGTTGTTGCAGATCTTCATCGGTGAGCTCTTCTGTATTGGAACCCAGGACATTCCCAATATCCTCTGAATCCAGCTCATCACAGCCTGCCTGTCTAGCCAAGCTGAGGATATCCCTATTCACAGCGGGGACTAAGTCTGTGAATCCCGTAAAACTGTTGACGCACTCAGGCCACAGTTTACGCCACACACCATTCAGGCAACTTTCTGAAACATCTTCCCATTCCTTGACAATGTTGTCAATTGCGTGAAGAATGTTGAAGCCGTGCCAATATTCTCGGATCGTAGGTTTAGTTTCTCCGACTATAGCCTTGAGCAGCTGGGCCATGGTACAGCATGAATAATATGCCTTGAATGCGGCGATGACGCCTTGGTCCATAGGCTGCATCAATGCTGTCGTGTTGGGAGGCAGGAATACAACTTTTACACTGTCATGCAAGTCGTCGAGATTGGGTGGATGAGCTGGAGCATTGTCAAGGATCAAAAGAATATTGAAATTAAGGTGCTTCTTGGCACAGTATTCCTTCAGTGCAGGGACGGCATACACATTTAACCACTGGCTAAATATGGCGCCGGTTATCTATGCCTTTTTGTTTGCCTTGTAGATCACAGGAAGGTGATACTTAGAGTAACCTTTCAGGGCCCGTGGGTTGGCAGCGCGAGAAATCAGCATAGGCTTCAACTTGAAGTCACCGGCAGCGTTCGCGCCAAGCAGCAGCGTCAAGCGGTCTTCTTCCTGGATAATCCGTTTGAATTCTGGCGGGAATGTCTCGGCAGCAACCATATCTGAACTGGCAGTTTCACCAGTCATCTTAATATTGTGGAAGTTATACCTGCGCTTAAATCATTGAAACCGTCCTCGGCTGGCCGTAAAGGTCTCTTCCTTCGATCCTTCACCCTCTTCTGCCTTTGTCGTCAAACAATGATCTGGCCTTATGCTGGATAACCATAAGGCACACAGGGGCATTGCATTAATTCTGGCCTCCATCCACGTTGCCAGCACCTTTTCCACTTTTTCTATCACAGTGCTTCTGGTACGAGTTGTCCAGCACTAACCTTAATCTTGTTTGCATTGGTCCAGATGGTACGCACCGTTGTGAGGGTTAGACCAAGCACAGCGGCTATGTCCACAGCACGTTCCCCTTTTTCAAATCGGGTTAATACATCCATTTTCATAGCAAGGGTAATGGTCTTACGTTGCCTCTTCACTACACTAGCATCAGTAGCACTTGATGGGTGCTTGGAAGCCATTTTGAATGGTTGGAGTACAGTTTTAGAGCAAACTCACTTTAGCACACACGAATGATGTGAAGTCGTAACAGAGACTGGCTTGGCGTTGCTTGGGGACGCTGACGTTACGCGAGTGAGGGCAGTGCGCCAAGCCGAGAGAGCGTAGCGCAGTCAGACAAGAGCAGGTGATGCGCCATAGAAAGTAGTCCGTGACTGCGCAAAACGACGTAGTATCGGATCACCGGGACGTTAAACGAATTTTTGGTCTCTAAAGTTTAGCGACGTAGTACCGAAACAACGTTAAGCGGGAGGACATTATACAGTACGAGGGCTTACTGTAATTAACTTAGTACATTTGAGTACAAGTTGTGAAAATTTATGCAGTTCCTCAGCAGTTGTGGTTGCATCAATTAAATATAAAATATAAATTATAAAGTAAAATGTTATAAGACATTAGTTTAGTACAGTAGTGCTGTTAATGTGTGTGCTGTGTGTCTTGACATGTCACCTCACCCTTTGTCTCGTTAGCTCAGCTCGGAATTACATTGATTTATTACTGTATTACAGGTATTTTACTTGTTCAGTATTGTATGTACATTTAAAGAAATATTTATATTTGCACAGTGATTATAGACCCAGAGCAGAGAAATCCAGTATTACCCAAGCAGTTGGTCTTCCCACCCACGCACCAACCAGGTGAGGATGAGGCTAAACATGATGCAATCTTTCATAATGCTGGGTACCCCTGTCCCCAGGCCCTGAGGAGAAAGGTTTGGAGTGATTTTCTCAGATTTTCCAGTAATTGTGCATCATTTCATAAACAATATTTGTTCCAAAACCCAGAAATAAAAATTTGGACAGATTTTGCAGATTTTTTTCAAATTATATGGCCTGCTCAAGTGATGTGAAAATATCATAGGAGTGGGAAGTGAAAGAGTGGTAAAATGAAAAAAAAAAAAAAAAAAAAGGCAGAATTTAGGTAAGGATGGATTGGGGGAGAAGGGAAAACTAAAGAGGTGTTAGAGGATATGGTAATGGATGTCTGTATCAAAAATTTATATAACACTCATCACATTGTCACAACAAAATGTTTATGAAAATATCTTTCAATCCCAAATACAAATAATTAATATAAACATTAAAGAAATTCTGTACAAAAAGACCTCTGGCATTAAGCAGAAGTAAAAAAAAAAAAAACATTTTCATAGGGTCTATTGGGAAATTTTTTTTCCATACGAATGCACCTCCAATTATATACTGTACTGGGTTTCACCGAGAAAATAAGTTTTGCGTTATGTTATTTCACATAAAGGAAATAAATTTCAAGAACACATCCCTTCAGTAAAGTAGGGATGCCTGTATTGGTTTTTGTTTCTGACCACCCTGTATAAGAGGAAAAAGGCTTGGAAAATTATATAAATAAATATAATCCTTCAAGATAATAATAGCAGGCTAGTAAGACTCCCAAATCTTTTGCTGATCATTTAATGTCTCTAATGGAACTCCTCTCTGTCTGACATGTTGTGGTTCAGAGATGATGAAGAGTGGTGGGGCGGGAGGGGATCTCACTGTAATCTACACCAAAATTTTCATTACCCAGACTCATCAGCCCACTATTTATATTATCCAGCAAATGATATTCTGAATTTACACTATTTTCATGGTTTGCCGATAAAGCACAAACCAAGGCACACGTGTTAACTTCAAAATTCAGTGTCCTGGAACAACAGTGATCTTGTTTAGTAAACTTTTGTCATAAATAATGAATGTCCTGGTGCAACTGAGTTTGATATGTGTTTACCTACTCCTGTAGGTCATTGTGCTGTGGGTAACTATGTCGTCTCTAAATTGTTTGTGTAACTGTTATGTTTGTTAGTGATCAACCGAGGGTCTGGCTGGTGAGGGAGCCATCTCTCCCCTCCACTCGGTGTGATGAGATAAAGCATGTCGGTTTGGATCATGAATCAAGAATGGACAATAAGGAAACTACTACAAAAACTTAGGGCAGAAGTCTGTGCTGCTTAATCTGTAGAAGAATGTCATAAAAGGCAATCAAAATTTTTCATATACTGCATGGTATAAAAATGAAAACAGCTCAGACTTTGCCAGTCATCTATAAAAAATAAGTAATGAGGAAAAACTTCTTGTCTTTGCTGAAACCGCATAGGGGAGACTTTGCTATTCACAAGTATACATACAATTATGTACTGTTTTTATCCAATAAAAAACGAGTTCACTTGTGGGTTGCCAATATACAGACCACTGCTACATTTTCCTACACTAAACTACTCTCTTGAGATGTGACATCACTACATTCAGGTAAAAATAGACAAGTATTATGGAACACATACTTATGCAATTAGTGGTCACACTATATTCACAAAAATGACAATCTGACTCCTTTTGGACTTATTTCACAAAATGTGCTTTTATATGGCAGTCTTTCATGGTTGTATTCACACAAGTATTTGGCAGGAAACTGTGTATAAGAGGAATTGATATCACAAAGGCAAATAAACAATCTAAATCTCCCAGTTTTGGTCAATTGTATAAAACATTGCATAAGTCCAGCAGTTCAAATATTGAACATTTGTGCATGAATTAAGACAATAGAAGGTTTAAACTAAAATAGCAGGTCAAAGTCATCTGGTCCTTCAGTTTGTCATATAAAATTGCACTGGCAAAAATTAAAATCAAAATAATTTATCAAAAGATGGTCAATACAACTCGCACTCCTGTCCTTTAGAAAAGAATCTAAGGTATATATATATAGATATATATATATATTTATATTATATATATAAAAAAAAATAATATTCAATACAGCCTCCACATTCAGTTTTTGTGAGTACGTATACACTTCACTACCCCAAACCCTCACAACCAGTGCTCTTGTTCAAATGTTTGCCAATGTGGGGCTAATTTCTTCAATAAATAATAAAGAAAGTATTAAAGTGTTCAAACATTACTGTACAATAAATAATAAATACATTCTCACTGACTCATTACCATCTCATGGAAATTTTCCTCAGTGTACAGAAGCTAAATGTTCATAGTCTTGTACAAAACAAATTGTACTTAGTGACTCCATCTTAGCATTCAATCTAAAGGCATAAATTTGCTAGTAGCTTTGTTCCTGTACTTGAAAACTTCACTTCATGTCCACAGCATGTCAGTTAGTTGCCTTCTTGTCCCACCAGAGGTATTGCAATTCAGGGCTTTCTGAGTCAATGCAATCATTGGTGCAAAATAATATCCTTACCTAATGTATTGCTTGGAATAAAAATATCTTTTTGTTTACTATGTGTATTCTTAATCAAATTTTCTTTAATATAAAGGTCACTTTAGCATCACTATGTACTGTTTCACCTACTGTTCTTCAGCGCTATATTTCCATAAAAATGTGCTTTGATAGCATGCAACACATGTTCAGTGCACCTTATTTTTTTTTTATACATGGTCCTTGTCCAGCATGGTCTGTCCTGCCAATTGTATTAATGCACCAAGAACTACTATACAAGAAAATCAGGGTCACTATATTCACTATCTTCATCCTCTGAATCACTGTTTCTCCTCCGCTTTTTCTTTTTCTTGTGTTTTTTATGGCTGGAAGATCTATGGGAGGAACGATGGTGGTGGTGATGTGAGCGGTGTTCTCTTGAAGGTGTCACCTGCGACGTGCGTATGGTGATTGGTTTGATGGGTGAGCGGCGAGGAGGTAGCTGCTCATCACTCTTAGTTTCCACCACGGCATTGCCCACTGTGTTAAGAGTTCCTGGCAACATTTGTGCACCCTTCGGTTGATCCTGTTTGAAAATAAATTGTAAGTCAAGTATAGTTTATATAACTCATTCAGGTATAATATCAATAATTCAATAAAAGCCGAGTTTGTTTATGTATATATATATATATATATATATATATATATATATATATATATATATATATATATATATATATATATATATATATATATATATATATATATATATATATATATATATATATATATATATATATATATATATATATATATATATATATATATATATATATATATATATTTTTTTTTTTTTTTTTTTTTTTTTATTCAGAGTATAGTATTGTAATCTGAATATTCCCTTTTGATGTATACCATAATAAAGGTACTAAAAATATCTAATGGAAATTACTAAAAACTTAAATATCATACAAAAAGGTCATACCTGTACCTTATATCAAGATACAATATACTCAAACAAACTAATATAAATCTTTTCTCCAAAAATAGTTATTATATTGCAAATCATTCCTCAAAAATAATTTTCATTAAAACTGATAATCTCCTTAAGTGTAATAATTAATTTTGTATATTGAATTGATTGTGAATAATCAAGAACAAGAGCAATTACCAATCAAAATATAAATGAAGTTTTGTATACTGTACAGAACTTAAGAGTGAAAAGACTAAGTTTAGATTCTGAAAGAAACTACAAATTTTTCTTATACAGACACAAGTTATTTTTTATTTTTTTTAATAACATACCAGTAATTAAAATATTAATACAAACTACTGTAATCCAATTAGTACAACAGCACATGGACAACACTAGAGAAACAGTCAACACAGAAGGGTACTAGGAGGGATTGCCGGTGGAAGTTTTCACCAACTCTGACGGGTCACATAATAAACCCTAGAAATGCTACGAGCCTCACCTTCCATCCGTCGTGTGTGCCAGGCAGCAATGGAACATCGCTAGCATTCTGTGGGTAGAACTTACGTCAGTGACCAACAACAAGCAGTTGCCCCGCCACCAAGCTTTACACTCACCATTCTTGAGATTCCACCCAAAACTCCCAACTTTGTGGAAAAGAAGTTGTTACTTGTAAAACAACTTCCTTGTATTCCACTATGGGGTTCTGGAGAAGAGGATCCAGAATGCTGGCATGTCTATACTAAAACTATTTTGACCAATTCTTTCTATATTTTCTTGATTCTCAAGTTTCAATTAATGATATTTTGTTAATTTAATTCAGTGAACGGTGACAACGCCATGCATACTGCTATCAATATGGAGAAAAAATAAAACAGACTATATCTTCATTTATGGGGCCATCAAAACAGGAGTCAATTATCAGTAGCATAAAGTGTATACTGTATACAGTTTGCAGGGGATGACCAATGTAGACTCCCTTATATTAAATTCAATTTACTTATCATTATTTCCTACAACAAGAACATGTCAATTAATCTGTTGAAGGTTTTATAAATAGCTATACTGCACAATAAAACTTACAACTGTTATAAAAGTATTATGAGTTATAAAGGTTACTATTTCAACTTTTTTTTATTAAACTAGCTTGAATTCATGTTCACGTAATGATGGCTGTTTTGACTGTCCCAGACTGAAGTTTAAACTATTAACCCAAGCAGTTAGATTAAGGATGTTTTCCTTCATATCTTGACATTATTATGTGAATGGTGTCAAGATATAGTGCAGTGAAACCCTGCTAAATTAACTGTTCATTTAGCCAGTACTGTATGACTATCATTTACACTGATACCAAAAGAGTTTATGGACTTGATAAACTAGAAAAAACTATAATTAATTAAAAGAACAAAAATTTGCAAGGTTCTAAAACATCACTTAGACAGACCCCAACAGCAAAACAAAACAAAAGTAATCCTCAAGAGTTACACAGCTTCCTACATGTTGCAAAAATATGCAAATATCACATGCCCACTTGAAGAAATATCAACTAAACATTATGAATAATTTAGAACTCCAATGCTTTCATAACTGGCAGCTATTATCCTAAAATTCTATATGTAAACTCTTCTCAAGATGTTTGGACCATTATACAGCTCCACAAAAACTGAAACAGAATATCAGTGACAGACAATAATTTCAGTAAGCTTGTTTTCATTAATCATGGTGTACTCAGTCTGTGGTGGCAGCTTTGTCCACTTTTACATTCAGCTTTTCAAACAGGATACAGTATATGGTACAGGCAATCTTGTAACCAGATTCTGAACCTGCCATTACTGTTGTTTCCTGGAACAAATCTTTACTCGAAATGAATTACCTTCACATCTGATAACCTTTCATATCTAGGTTCTCTCTTAGATCAGTGTCAGTTTATCCTTTTCTATTCAGGTATGATAAGAGGCAAGACAGGAATTAAAAAAGAATTAATATTGAACAATAACAAAAAAATTTAAGCCTTCCAAATAAAATATATAAAATTTACATGTAACTACATGGTATTTGTATGAAAGTGGTGTCAGATACAAATCCAAGTACATCTTAACTATGGGATACATAATACAAGAGGTGTAAGTAGTATGAAGAACATAAAGATAGGAGGAAGGTCTGAATGCTGTTAGAAGTCGGCCTATACAGTACAGTGTCATGTTTTGGCTATGGACTTAAGTTGTGGATAATGGATAATGGTATCAACAGAGATTAGTGTATGTCACCTTTATCTTAACAGGAAAAAAAATATGAGTGGGCAGGAGTCCTGGGACCTATAACTAAATTACAGTACAAGGCAAAAATACTGACAAACAAAATTAGATGAACTCTTGTTCAGTGTGTCCACAGGGTGTTCAACTTCTCATTAAGTCAGTGTTCATCCCAAAAATTGAGGCAGCTCTATCTAATACAAAGACTTTATACACAAATATAAATAAATAAATAAATAAATAAAAATAAAAAAGTCTGCCGATGAAATTTGTTATCAATTTTCAGTCCTTAATATCCATTTTGTTCAATGTAGCAGCTGAATGGCTCTATCAAGAAAGATGACAAGATCACCAAACTAAAGAATAAACCACAAACATTTACAGGTAAAATTTTGAACCGGAAGCTGTGTCCCAAAAGGCTATAACTCTACCAAAAATAATTACGTATGTTGAGATCATAACAGTTGTCTATGTTTAAAATCAAAATTATAATAGGTAAAATTTAAGATTACTTGCTGATACACATTTGTGATGGATGAATGAACAGAGATAAACATAATGTAATCTATATACAGCATCTCCTAGTGGTATATAGGAGTTACTATATAAATAAATACGTGTTTATTAACCAGAAACACTTGCATACTTTATAATAGTCTTTTCAATTTTTAATGGTTTCATTATTTACTTAAAATGGATGTTGTATTTTATGTTCCAAAACAAATGATGAGAGTAAATCAAGCATGGGTTTGTTGCTGTAAAATGTTATTAAACTGAAAACATTTTGCACTTAGTAATAAAAAAATAGAAAGTTTTTAAAAAATACTTAAATAAATTAATATTACCAAAATATATAATGAGGAAATATAAACCAATTACAATAAAAAAAGAGGTGAAATAAAAAGTTTTTCAAAAGTACTAAAATATCCCCCAAGTGGGGCAACTTAACTAGTGCACAACAACCAATTAACAAGAGCCAGAAGACTAAGGAACACCCACTGATGATACAAGACATGAGCAGCAACAAAAGAAAACAGTATTAAGAGGCCTATAGCCCTCAGTGTGAAGTAATTAACAACACTGCTGAAATGATCCATTGGTTATTATAATCAATATTATTATTATCATCCAGGGCTGTAAAGCTTGTACAATATATACTTATGTTGGAGCCAAGGTAAAGATATAAATATATTTCTTTCATTTAGATTAATACCCCCTTTTTATATATGTTTTTTTTTTCATAATATATATAAAAACTGAGTTTATTAGTTTGTTAATTAACACCAATATAATCCCAAACTTTTACTACACGTGTAACTCAATAGTTTCAAAAATAAAAACCTATTAGAAGTGCCAAGAAAGGCTTGTATTCCTCATTAGTGGCATATGTTAACAAAGTTAACTTGAGAGAGTATAGTTGGCTCATTTACAACTTCTTCAAGTTCACAGGAATGTGATTACATCCACAACTGCATGTGGAGCCATAACGTGAAGACTATTATTTAGGACAGCTGAACTCTTCAATAACAAAACATATTTCCTACAGTGCTTATACTTCAAGTCAATAAGAAAAAAATTATAAAGTATAGATTCTTTTACAATGGTACTGAAAACATGAACAATAAATAATGGGATAAAAAGCTGTTATTAGTCCATGCCTGCAAATGAAATAAAATATTAAGGTATGTGTGAGCATCCACACACAAGTGCTGAAGTGTGTTCATACATATAAATGCATTAAGCAGTTGCAGTAAATAAAGAGTAGCAACATCCTTCCTCATCATGCTGTTGCCCCCTTGTCCCATGCTAGATATAGATCACTTCATATCATCCATTCATTAAAGTGTGAAATGTTGTGAAACAAAATATAGATGGCCTATACTTTTATAACTGACAGAAGTTGATATAAATCATTAATATCAATATGAAGTAATATTACATATACAACCACTCAAAATAATAGCAATTTATAGACAGATTATTAAAGATGTCGTACCTGTCTTGATGAATAAATACAAGGTGGTCTTGGTGAGTGTGGCCCTTGTGAGCACTACTACTGCAACAATTACAAGGCATGGCCCCTCGCACACGTCTTCTTTTATAATCAATCATGGCATTTTTTTTGCGGTTCATTCCTTCCACAAAGAGCTTGTATTTATAAATTTCAATTGCTCTTCAAATTTATTCAAGTACTCTGTCAGGAGATACTGCGAGAAGTCATGTCCCTATAAGCAATGAACAAGGATTCTGCCAAAGATATACAGTAAAGATACTGCTATACATCCAAGGAGGTTCAAAATTTGCTAACAGCGGACTGAACTGCATCACATAATGGTGGTCAATTAAAAGTGTAACTCCTTAACATGGTATTCTGTTGATCATGAAACAATAAACATGTCTAGGACCCTTGTTTCCCATCGTCATTAACTTAACGGTGTGAATCCTATATGAGCTATAGATGCCCGAGGCCTCCAGATATACGGTAATTACATCCTGCCAAAGGTTAAAAATTCTCCTGACATCAACAGCTTAGTACTTGTGTTGTGATGGCGAAGGTCCTCCACAAAATCACTCACCAGGTAGTTGTGCAGTTATTAGCCAAGAGTTAAAAAGGAGACAATACATACTGTACTGCAATTTGAATGATGAAGATAAAGTGATGAACTGAAGAGAATAAAAACTCATCATTATAACCCACCAACACACTCTTCAGCCTACTGTCATACTCACCCTGGGAATTCTCCTAAACTAAATATATAAGTTCTGAACACTGTATTAACACTATTGGTGCTTTTATTTATGTATATTTCTTATTTTTCCTTTTCTGATATAAGCTGTACAGTATAAGCTTTTCATTATATAAGGCAGCAGCTCACTCTGAAGGTGTTGGCCAGCATATATGATCTCAGTCATAAGAAGTGAAAATAGTAACAATACTTCTTTTTAATAAAATTTTTGCTGCCATTTCCTTTTCAACAATATCTTCATTTAAACAATGGATATGATTGGCCTGATGTGCTTAAGTATTACATGAAAAACTGGAATATCACAGATGATGTCAGCTCCAAGGAACTTCAGATGCCATCATACATTACTCCAGATATAACCACTAGTAGAAAGACTTCACATCATACCTGAAGGTGCTACACATCTCAGTTGTAAAAACTTAATGACTCAACAATTCTTATATTCATCCAATGGCAAAATCCTTGTTACAATCACCCTCATTAATGTTAAAGATTTAAATATAACAAAATACATAATATTTATAAAAAAAAAATTATTATAATGAAAATCAAAAGAAAAATGTTGATTAATGAGGGCAAGAGAGACAAACAGATAACAGATATGCAATATTAATACAAAATAAACTTGCCTGATTCCCTCTTAAGCTTCTAGTATTTGGAACAGGCATGTTGGTATCATTCTGGAATGGTTTTTTAGATATATCTACATCTGAATCTTCATCATCATCCGGATCAATCTTCAACATTAGTGCTTTAAACTGTGGAAAAAATACATTATCATCAAAAACTGTATGCAACCAAACAATTGTTTTCTTTGTATGTGGTAAAAGTATAAAAAAAGCCTGACAACCTATCATGAGCAGTGTGAATACATACAGCAAACAGACTAACACACAAGGAGCTAGTATGGCCAGTACTTTGTCTAACTCTTGTTTCCTACATTACAGATGTTGGAATAATTACAGTGAGAGTTAATAATATAAAATATGACAAACTATATATAAGATATACAAACCAATAAGGACTTAAACTATCATATTAAGATGTTTATATACAGTAACCAATAGATCCATTGGTGAAAAGCTCAACACCACGGGTGCTTACAACTGCATCTCCCACAGAGGAGCTAAACCAACACTTCTTTCATATAGACTTTTTCAACAAAATCCTCATATAACATTCTGTTCCACTCCCATAGGATCACAACATACTGCACCAGTTCAAACTCCTCATAATTCTTTATTTTTAATGTATGAATTGTTGTAACTATAGAATCAGACTATTCCAATTTGAATTTCATAAAACTATCAAATGTACATGAACACCATACCTAAATACAAAATAAAATATTACAAGTCCAACATTTAAAATAAAACAGAATTTACATCTGTTGGCTATCATACAGAAGGTGGATACTGGCTTATATAAATACAGATGTTTAAATGGATTTAATAAAATTTCAGTAATTAACCAAAAAAAATGGTTTGAATTACCAGGGTACCTTACTATCTACTTGTGAGCTACAATTTGCATTAGATATAAAATATCAAGATTGCATGCCAACAACTTTATACATTGTATTCCTACCATGAAAAGAAGCTCAACTTGATACAACATTATATTAAGATTCAGATATACTTGACTGACAAAAAGGGTGCCACTTACATTGAGGTATTGGTTAATGAGGTCAATCTTTGGTCTGGTATCATCTACAGTATCTAAATCTTGGTCTGGTTCCTCTTTTAACCGCTTAAGAATTGACTTGGGGTTAAACCTGGCTGAACTTTTTCTAGAGGCACCCTTTTCATATTGTTTGGAAGTATCCGAAGGGGAGTACTGAGTAATTCTCCTGTGGAAAGAAGAACAAAAATTAATGCTGAAGCAGTAGTTGGTTATATCAACTACACTCATTACCACCTTTATTTGGCATTAACTTAAAAAAGCAGACTAGTTAATAGGTGGACCACATTGCCCCAATGGTTAATTTAATACCCATTTTTCTTAATTTTTTTAAGGATGCTAAAATCTCTCTGCAATGTTTCTGCCTTCTACTTGTAAGTCACTACTACACACCATGTGGTAATCTAAAGTGTGAAGAGCTGTTGTCTGGTATTTTTGGTCAGAATCATGTTAATATGTGTGGAAGAGCAAGAACATTGTTCAGCTAATTAACCTCTTAATGGTCAATGACAAATTACATCATCCTTTGTCATATGCTAATTGGTCACTGATGTAGTTTATGTCACATTAAGCTAGGGTTTAGTAGGCTTTGCTAAGGACTCCTATGGGTCCAGATCTGTAGAATAACTCATTTTATACGACTTGGCAGCTCACGGCTATAAATAAATGTGGATGTGTGTGTGTGTGTGTGTGTGTTGAAGAGAGGAGCGTCATATTCCTGCCTTCCACATTGTGATGTTGCCTCATCTCTCAGAGAAAACTTTCAAGATGCTATCTGACATGCAACTTTATGCCTCCAGTGTACATAGAACTAATTTTAGTTATATTGATATGTAAATAACATAAGGAAGTGGAAGTGGTAACAGACCTGTTCGTACCTTTGAATGAAACTGCATGCATGGTGATGCCTGACTGACCGGGACTTTTAAACCAGGCAAGAACCTTATGGGTGTGCTTTTTACTGTCCCACATGACTTTGGGTAACATTTGGAGTTATTTTAGCAAAAATAAATAAAAATCTTTGACCATCTGGGCCCAACTTCAATTAAATTAAATGACCATTTATGGGTTAAGAGTGAGCAGCTCCATCAACTTCAGTAATCTTTGTACGTTCAGAGTGAGTGAATAAGTGAATGACATTTGTATTGCATAATGCTTTTAATTTTGTGGAAGGTAGAGGAATGTTGCCAATTGAAAAGTGATAAAAAATAATGGTTGTTGTTATCAAAAAGACAGATTTAGAGAACTAGCAAAGCATAGATAACATAACTAAGGGTAGTTTGAAGAAACAGGCTACTTTACAAGAAGAATTAAAAATCAGGCTAGTTGAGTGAAAAGTGAGAAGGCAAAGTGACTGGTGAACAGTAGTTAAGTGAGATGCTTTTTAGCATATAGCAAATTAGCACAAATCTTTCACTGTGAAAACCTACACACTTGATAGAATTTATGGTGGTTGGCAGAATTCATGACATGTAGATCAACATCATGAACTGAACACTTCACATAGACACAACTATGAAAATTATCAACCTTTATCTAAACTGACGATGATGTAATAACTCACCCATCAGTGATGCCATATATCTCCTTCATGTAGTCTTTAAGCATGAGCAATAGTAGGCAACCCTGGGAGGCATTGATACAGTCCACCAAGGGTGTCAAACTCAGTGGCAGACGTGATAAATACACCTCAACATCCTCTTCATCGTCCAGGTCATCTACATACTCTGGCTGCCCGGTTTCAGGGTTGATTTTGACTTCTGCATTAGGAGGTGGCAGGAGAGCCTGATATGGAAGAAAGGTACAATTAAAAACTAATAAAATATGCCCCTAGTGTAAACATTGGATTAAAAAATGTGAATCATAAACAAAGGAACACTTAGTACAATCTGTATAGCATTGACAAGAACCTCCGGAGTATTACTAAACACAATCTATGTAATACCGAGTACAGTCAGTGTAACGCTAAAAACAATCTTTGTACAATTGTATCAAAATAAAGTCAAAACCCAAACAAGAAAAGAACTACTGCCATCAAGACTCAATCACCAAAAATAACTAATCTTGCTCATAAACACTCATTACACATCACACTACAGTAAAAGTCCAAAAATCCGGATGCCAGGAATCCGGACCACCCGAGAATCCGGACTTTTCGAAAACTCAAACTTTTTAAATTTAGCGGGCTTTTGTGGGTTATGTGAATGAATGGAGTTGCTTTAAAAAATTAATTTACATAATTCTAATAATAAAAGTAATTGTAAATTATAGGTAGCTAATTTTGTTAGTTTTGTAATTAGCTTGAACTGAAATGTAAAATTTGAGGCACTATAAATCTTTTGTGTGTATGTGTGCATGCGTGAATGCCGCAGCTGCACAGCGACAACAAACGACCACACGATCGCCACTTTAAAACAAGCAATCAAACTGTGACAACGTATGTAATTTTGAGTCCTACTCTTTCCATGTACAGAGTACAAGGCCATAATTATGGCCCCTAAAGTAGATAAACTTCGTTGTGTGAAGAGAAAGAAGAACACATTGAAATTGAGTGACAAACTTGAAATAATTAAGAAACTAGAATGTAATGTGAGCAATGCTGTTCTAATGGAAACATACAACATTGGAAAGTCTACAATTTATGATATAAAAAATGGCAAAGAATAAAATTCTAGAATTCACAGCTTCTTCTGAGCCTTACATTAAAATTGCTGAAAGAAAAAGTTTACATTGGCCCAAATAAGAAAATCTTGATAAAGTGTTGCACGAATGGTTTTTGTTAAAACGATCAGAAGGTATGGCAATTTCTGGGCCGATGCTTATTGCCAAAGCAAAGTCTTTTAAGGAGCAAATGAACATTGAATCAGAGTGCGCATTTAGTGATGGATGGCTTAGGAATTTCAAGACTCGTCATGGTATTAGACAGTTTGTTTACATTTTTGTCTAGTGTTGACTTTATTTTTCTTTAAAACTGCTCGTTTTGATAAATGAAGCATGCTTTATTTGCTAATGAATAAACTATCAAAATGTACCTGTTCATCTCTTCTTTATTCCTCCTTAAATTTTAATTTTAAAAGTACTGCCTGAGAATCCGGAAAATCCGAAAATCCGGACCGACCCAATCCCCAAGCAGTCCGGATTTTTGGACTTCTACTGTATATAGAATACATTTTAATAAGGGTACTGTACCTCTCTGAAAGCCTGGAGCAGGTTGCTACCTGTGACAGAGATCATAATGTCAATGTGGTGGATGATGAAGAGTGGCTCATCCAGCACCTGGTAAGGGAAGTATGCCAGGTTGTCTGCGATGAACAGCAACTCACTCAAGCCGGTTCTCTGTGGACACAATAATTATAAGAAATCCACTTCCTATGACACTGTATATGCAATGTTTCTGTACCATTTAATCTAACATTCCAAGATTTTTCCACTAAAATGCTGATTTGTTAGGATTGAGAACACAGTATATACACACACCCTTCAGTTATATCATTTATTCAATCTCACTGCTGTAATAAATGTGTCCACTACAAGGCCATAAACATCCATGTAGTTTACTCCAGTTACTCTATACATCAAATATCATCACCTACACTACAGCTACAACTGTTCGTCTTTTCCTGTTTCATGATATTCTACATTTCATGACAAGGATATTATTAGTTAATTTACAAAATAAAAAAGTCACTTCACCAACACACCTATTTCACTATTTACAAGGCTAAATAAATTATTGATGAAAACTCGGTTCAACTTCAAAATAATCTAAAGGAAAAATCCTTCATTGTGATCTCTAGAATAACTTATTCTGACAAACCAAAAAGGCATTTAAACTCCTGATAAAAGGTGATTACAAACTTCTCAAGATTTCTCTTCCAGTTTATCTTTTTAAACATCAGAGCAATTATATAACAAGATGAAAAGGTACTTACTGCCTGTTCCTCAAACTGCTTTAACAAGGAGAAGGCCACTGCTCTTCTGTGCTGCTTAGTGGAGCGCATAATGGAGTATAAAAAACCATTAAGTGCTCCAGGGTGTTCTCCTTCTTTGATGCGAAACCCTCGAGTTGGGGGAGAGGCCTGGATAAGGGAGTGTAATCTGTATGATAACCGGAAACCTTGCATGGCCTTCATCCCAATGAAACCAGGATATTTCTTTTCAATGTCTTGAAGCTGTTTGTCTGCAGAATGGGCAATTACTTCCTCGGTGTCAGTCGACATACACACCAGGTATGGCACGATCTGGACGGGGTGGACTAAACCCTGGGCCAACACCAGCTGGATCACACGCAGTGCTGAGTGTCGTACACCTACACACCCGGCTACCACACATTCCAGGACCTGAATTGAAAAATTAAATTATGGAATACTTCTAAATAGCTACAATATGCCCAAAAATATATGTTTTATAAATTTATGCCTTCACATAGTTAATATTATAAGGACTTCAAAATAATTGTTTTAAAAGCACTTTCATAGCAATCCCAGACTTCTTTAAAAAAAAAAAAGCCGACATTCTTGCTCTAACACCTTCTTCCATGATATACTGTATTCCCAAGTAGATACTGGTGTTCAAATAAAAAAAATAAATAAATAAAAATGAAAAGTCTAAATCAGACACTTCATTTCCCTAACTTTTCTGAGTAGACACTCCCTGGGTTATGGATTTCCTTCTTTATGGGTGTTGTCCCATTACCCAATTTTCAGGTTACGGATAAGTATCAGTTTGTTACGGACATCAAGTAGTGCGGCATAGACACAATTAGAGTAGGCATAACATGGCTGGGCAAGGCACTCGGTCACATTGTTAGATCACTACAGTGTGCATCCCCTATGCATCATCAAAATTTCTTTCATTAATTACCCTTGTGCTGCAAAATGACTGGAAAGCACCCACGTAATAGTAATTAAGCAGTTAGAGGGAGGAAAAACTTTGTCTTGCTACCTCAACCACACACACGATTGTGAAGGACAGGGTTCATATAAAAGAAAATTGTGAAAGGTTCAGTGCCTTTAAAATCTGCTGTGATAATGAAGCAGCAATCACAAGTTATTTGTAAGATGTGATGCTTGTTTCCTCTCCTCCTTCCTCATCTAGCAATTAAGTCCATTTTCCACCACCAAATCCCCACCTTCTCAAGAGCAAATCAACACCAGGATTTACAGTAAACAGAATTACTATATTTACACTAGATTTGTAGTTACTTAATTGTATTTGTCTACTTATATGTCTTTCCTCTGCTTCTACTGCTACTTTTTAGTTACTAAAAAAGTATTATCATGTAGGTATAGTAATTGTATATACAGTACATTATGTATACGACATGTGTTCAATGATTACCTATGGAAGGGTCACTTTTGGTTTACGGATAGCCTCCAGGAACGGAACCCATCTGTAACCAAGGGAGTGTCTGCGTTTATTACAAGCCATCTCTCTTCATATCTTGTGCCCTCTTCTCATCTTCATACCCTTACACATTTTAATTCCTTCTATCCTTATGAGACCTAAAATTCCATTATAGATTTGCTGCCTGGGCTCAACAATCAACTTACTTGTTTAAGGTAGACTTGGATGATAGCAGATGCCATACCAGACTGGACATCACACATTTCTTTTAAATTCTCCCTTGTTTTCTGCTTAGACCCTGTAAGAAAAAAAATATATAAAAAAAATTAAAAAGTATGAAACACATAAGACATTATCCATCTCTGTATATACTGTATAACAAGAGCAGAGCTTACAAATAACAAAAGCCTAATTCTCAGAGAAAATTATTGATATCTTATTTTTGTCTTTTAAGAATACAGGGGGTCCCCAAGTTACGAACGGGTTCCGTTCCTGAGGATGTTCTTAAGTTGGAAATGTGCTAAGTCAGTTGGAACACATGCTATGTGCATACTGTACTTACAGAACAATGTTTAGAATCCCACTATATCATAGCCTAAGTCCTTATATATACATATAAAATCACTTAATTTGTGAGAAAAGAAGAGATAGAATGACAAAATACAGTAAATGAAAGTTAAAAAAATCTGGTAAATAAAAAAAAATTTAAATAAAATAAATAATAATAATAATAATAATAATAATAATAAATAAATAAATAAAATTAGAGTAAATTGACTTACATTCTTGATCTTGCTTGATCATGCGCACTTCTTCCTCCTGGAGATATGTCTCTATATTTTGAAGGGTTTGTGTTCTCAGTTGGGTGTTTACGGACGGGTCAAGTAACAACATGTGATACAGCTGTTTCAAACGAATCCCCATCATTAGTTCATAGTGCCGAATACAGACAAATCCCAAAGCTTGGAGTGTGTAGTAACGGAGGTTCATATCGGGCGAATCCATGAAGTACATCAGCGTCTCAAACACTTGTTCGGTGACATCGTGCTGCAGGTATTGAATATTTACATCTCACATTCATGTTATGACAGCATTTTCATTTTCAGGTTAAGAGGAAGGAAATGTAGATATCATAACAATTCACTGGTTATCAGGAATTTGGTAATGTGCCAAAAACACATGATATTAGTGAAGTAAGAATGTGTGGCAGGATTGTGCTTTCTTAAAGGAAAACATGGACAATGTTTGTATTACTTGTACTTTATTTTATATTAAATGACCATTAATTCATAATGTTTAATGGATATTAATAATGTTCTGCTCACCCTATTATGAGCATAATCACAATCCACTCAAATGTAATCTGCTTTATATTGACTTTACAGCAGAGGACTTATCATGCATACAGGCAGACCCACAGACATCAAGATACCAACAGAAACATTAAACAGTTTTACAGCATTGAAGAGACTAAAAAATAGGAAGCAGAAATTGTTACAGTTGACAGGTATGAGATAATACATACAGTAAGACAATGACACACAATGGACTGTTTACAGTATATGATAAAGCCAAACAAGAGAGGAAAGACCATTATGAATGTAGATGACTGTAGTGATGGAGGTATCCATGAGGCAGCTGCTGCTGGTGTGCAAGATCACAATGAATGATTTGAAGATTATATTTTCCCCTAAGACATGCTACTGCTGGTGTATGAAACAACACGTACTGTATGTATTGGGGCTGTGTTGTGGGAAGTACACACCACAGCAGACACTCTTATGGGAAAGTTTGTTTTGTAAAATCATTTTATTCAAATTAAAATATGAAAGGCAAAGAGTGACATAAGAAGGATAACATATAAGGAAAATTGTGATTAATAGTGAGATAGAATATAGTAACATTGGGTAAGACAAGAAAAGTCACCAACATGAGTGTACATTCCAGTATATACAGTACATAGGAAGTTAAGGTAGAGCCTCATGCAAATGTTTCCATCAATCGAAAGTACACATAGTATATCTAACAATATAAAAATGCTGTGTGACATGCAAACATATCAGCACACTGATGCACATTTCACACCCAGCTCTTCTCTCATCATTCATTACTCAACCGTTACTATTCCCTTACAGCTTCTTGCCAACCCAAATTCAATACCACATCTTTTGCTTCATCAAACACTTCTCTGACTGCTGACTATCTGTATCCATACTTGTATGGCCTCTGAACCCAGTTTGAGTGGGTTGTGGTCAAGGGGAAGCAGGTTTACAGGCATCATAAGTGTTACAGTATATTTGTGATTAACATTAAAATTCATACTATCCCTGGTGTTCCTCTGTACTTGTGTACTACACAAGAGCATTTATAAATTAAAGAGACTGTTATTATTAGTAAAGAAATTCATCATTCCACAGTCTGTTTTCTCTCAAATAATCAGCAACTCAAAAAAAATAATAATAATTTAATGCAGTTATACAAAACATTCTTTTTTAACATACACAAACATAATATAATTGTTAACCATTTTATCAAAACTTTGCTGCAGCTGCTGTCACATATAATTTCCTTCTGTAGAATTCCTGTACTTTCTATTGATTCATCTTTACCTAAACCTTTCTGTAAACATTTAGTCTTGCAATGTTTCCACCTTCCAATCACTGATCAATATTTTACACACCAACACCAAAGCTGTACACCAACTAACATCCAAGCATTATCCATACACACAAGTTACAGCACAGCCCCTAATACTGCTGAAGAGACTAATGTGAAAGAGAATATGAATAGTTCTATTAAAAGCAGCAAAGTTTATGGCTACTGTATGTAGTAAGGGTAATTAAAGTAAATAAATAAATCAATAAACTTAAAATTCACACTCCTTACCGCCAATCCACATCTGACTCTTTCATCCTTGAGATCAAAGTGTTTTAAAAGGAGACCAATTGTGTAGAGTGCTCTTCTGAAGAGAGGTTTCAATGTTTCTAATTTGGGATTATCTGGATTTTCCTCATTTAATTTTTTGTAGTCCACGATAAAGCTGTGATATCTGAGAAAAAAAAAACTTAATAATAATAATAATAGCATAATTAAGCAGAATTACACTACAATACCTAACAAATGTGAAAGTACTTAACTGTGAGCCTGATAATTATTACATAATGTGGCCATAGTTACTTATAAACAAAACAGTGCAAGTCTGGGACATGTAACACAATAATGCTTTTCTTAGCTTCCTCTCCTGCTGATTACTGTAATACCCACTTTGTTTTTCTACACCTGATGTTGTTTCTGTATTTCAACAGATGTTCAAGCACAGTTTTGTATATCATCTTCTAAAACTTCACTCCCAATGGGCTTTGTGTGCACAAGTTTCTCAAATAAACAGCAACAATCAGAACAAATATCGCATCAAAAATTTTCAGGTGACTTTTTAGTCACCTTACTAACGGTTTATGGTGTATAATTAACAAATGTCCTAATTATATATCATAGAAATTGGTGGATTAGGTAATTTGACATACAACTGGTGTACAGTCATCTCCCCAGTTACACAACAAATGGCCTCTTGTTTCTGAGGTTTTATTGCATATAAAACATTAGCGTAAAAAATGTGAGCAAAGGTCACCAAATAACCAAGATCACATAAACACCATCCGAAGTAAACAGAAAATTTTTTGAGAATTACCTTTAAACAATGAATGAAGACATATCACCATAAATCCAGTACACTGAGTCCCACTGTCTTATTAACCACACATGACTTAAAGCCTTAAAACCAGCAGAATCACAGGTAACTTCACATCAATATACACAACATATATGCAAAAAGCCCCCAAGGTCACCAACACCTTTCAAACACACATTAAATTCAAGTAAAATATTTATGAATCTAAGTTTTAAAATTGACTTTCAATAACTTTTGTTCATACAACCTTAAGATATTCTAAGTCACTTTGACTATTTTGTTATTACATGCAAATGTGTAAATAAAATCACTATTCAAGGGAATATGTGTGTGCATTAAATCATCTGTGACTTAAACACTAAAAAACAAATTACAGTAATTAAACAATATACAGTATTCAGTACATGGTTATATTTAACATGCTTCAGTTTACAACCACACTTATTGCCAATGAAAACTTTTTCATGATGAAATATGAACCATTATTTTACTTCACCTGTGTGATACCCTAACACATTCAACCCTAAAGCAAATACATATTCCTGGTTTTCAGTTGAATATGCAACCTTTGTATGCACAGAAAAGTCTGAAAACCAGACCAAAGATTATAACTGATTTTGTGACATTAAGTAAGCAAATGCAAACAATAAAAAATAAAGATATAAAATACTTTCAGATACAGCCACAATGTACTACAAAAAATGGTGAAGTATTATATGTTAAACAATAAGAGTACTGACGAAATTTTAATGATTATGAGATGTATTAAAGAACAAAAATAAAAACTCTGCCATTTCTGAAAGAAAACAACCAAGACTAAATACTTGATCTGCTTACCTATTAAAGCAATCCTTTATGAGTCTGTAATTTTTGGTGACTGTGTTGACAATTGAGCCAAGAAGCGCTAAACATGACGTGATGACTGTACGATCATGCTGTAATATCAACTTGACTGCATCTTCTTCTAGTTGTGAGAGAAAAGTTTCACTGGGGTGCTCCATCAGGGGTACAACTAATTCTAGTGTTCGCGCCACTACACCAATCATAGTGTAGTCTACTTGTGTCTGTACAAAGATAAAACAATTCAAATTATATTCAAAATTCATTACATCAATTTTATCTACCAGTAAGCAAAATAACCAAGTGCCAAGAGAGATGCAGTATTTAGTATGTGTACAAGATGATACTTAAATGAAGAGATAACTATATTAGTGGTGACAAAACTTAAGAGTTACAGTGGAACTGTTGAGCTTACATTACTATGAAGGAATGGGGCAAGTACTCTGCATGATTGATGAAGAAGCAAATTAGGCACAATAGACATGTGCTTAAAAACAAAGTGTGGGTAGAACAGGAGGCAGGAAAAAAGTGAGAGAGAGAGGTTTGGAACATGAGAAGTGGATGACCAGTACCAATGAAAGCATAATTCAGAGGAGCATGGTATGAGGGAGAAGGAAAGTAAGACCAATAAGAAGGTGGATAGGTGAGGTGAAGGAAGTACTTGAGGTCAGGGGAATGGACTCTAGGAAGCAAAATGAACAATAAAAAGAGTTCACCATCAAATGTATATGGGGCATAAAAGCAGTTGAAAGAAATTCTGCTTTTACTTTTAATTCTGGTCACCCTTCAGCATAACAACAGATGATTCACAAGTAGAGTATATAAAACAATAATAATAATAATAACTATTTCAACACTGTTTACACCATCACAAATGAATATCTCACCCGGCATCTCCACGCTAAATAAGGCTGGAGTGTTATTGCGTGGTCCACCAAGAGCTGGGGACGGATTTTTGCGAACAAGTAAAGAGTCTTGTGGCATGCCAGAATACGTTGTGTCGTGGTCCGTGGCTGGTCTGCTGGCTGATTTTCCTGACCGTCTTCTTCAAGTACCAGGATGTGCCTGACCAGGCAGTCCACTATCTGCTTACATGCTGTCACTAAGGACTTTGGTGGCTCAGTGTTGATCTTTGTCACATCATCTTTGTCTTCCCTTGGTTTAAACATCTGTAATAGAAGAGGCAGAGGAAGCAATTATGAGAACTATCATTTTACATTTAATATTTTACAGTTATGATGCGAAAAACTACAGCAAACACCATTACTAACTACTGATCATCAACAAATGAGAATGACTCTTCCTCTTGATTCCAGTGCCCATACACACAGGTAAAAATAACTACTGTGTACTGTACTATCTACTGTATAAGGGACATGAGAAGCAAACATTTAAACAATATATCCATACATCCATACAATACAGTAGAACATCTATACTGTACACCAGACTTCAATGCACCGGAATTCATTTTTCTCGGACACTCTGATGTGCTCTGGACTGCCCCTCTATTCACATTTTTTTTTTTTTAATCCATAAAATCAAGTTTCAGTCACAATAGTTTGTGTGTTCGTAGGTGCGGTTGAACATATGTGCATGAGTGTTGCATGGCACATGCCCGAGTCCTGCCTTCATACCTATCATATCAGTGCACCACACCTGGCTACCTACACTCATTTGTTAAATTTTTATTGTCTTTAACGGAGATACAGTACTGGAGGGTTTTAAGAAATGAGTAAAATTATGCAGAGTACATAGTTTAAGAAATGGGCAAAACTATTTAGAATGCCTATTTTAAGAAATAGGTAAAATAAAAAAATAAAAACATGAAAATTATAACAGACAGCAAAAAAAACGTTCTGCACCCCATGGTCTGATGGCCTTTGCAACGATCACTGACTGAGGCCATGTTAATTTGGTAAGGTTGGTATTTCTGGTTGTGATGCATTGTATAACCAGTACAGTGGGGTATGCTATAACGAGCGGATCCTACTACGAATATTCCTATAACGAACGGTTTTACCTATATTGAGAATGCTATAACGAACGAAACTCCTACAACGAACATTATTTAATTTTTTTTTTTTTACCAATTTATTGGTTTTTTTATTACAAGATTAATGATATTCTTTATTTCAGGGGTTTAGATGCATATTTATGCACTTTTTTACAATTTTTACAATTTTATATTATATTTTTCAGTGTTAAGTGGTTGTATTTGGGGGCCTGGAACGGATTAATCCTATAACGAACGAATGCTATAACGAACAAGGTTCTAGAACCAATTAGATTCGTTATAGCATACCCCACGGTATGATGTATTTTTTTTATATCACATTTGTATAGTTAATATAGAGAAATTAACAGGAATCACCCTCGTAAATGAGTGTTGTTCAGAATTCTTGGTCCAATGTAGCTGCACCATAAAGGTGCAAAAAAAATTTTTGTTGACTGTAGACCCTTTCTTAAATATGACAAGATATTCAGCTGAAATAATTTTGAGTAGATATTTTTCATGCAGAGAAATTCAGTTAAAAAAATTAGAGCCTCTGTCTAATTACAACAACTTACACTGTGTAGTAGCTGCTCAAACCAGTCCAAGCCAGTGTCCCTGCAGGCCACCACCACCTCCGTAATATTATTGACTTTTCTGAGCAGAGCCTCTTCATCTAGATGTGGCCTCTCTCTCACCGGGGTAAACCACATATTCTGGATAAGGTTTGAACAAACACTTAATACTTCAGCGTATATATCTATACATATAATACAGTATAAACTAATGAAATGTACTTCTTTCTTAATAACCTTTTAATAGTAAATTTTTTAATATACTTTCAAAAGTGAATTAAGTTAACATTGAACCTAAGACTATACAGACCTGGAAGACCTCCTGCACTAGCTTCTTGATGCCCTCTTCATCGTTGATTCTCCGGATCATCTTGACACAGATCTCAGGAATTTTGGTGAAGTCGGGACATTCAAGACATATGTCTTTCAAGATCTTGATAACACGTTTTCTTACACTGACACCCGTGTCCTGAGTATATAATGTTTTGTTAATCAACTACTTTTAATACTTGTACTAAAATTTTAGACAATATAATCAGCATTTTCACTAATACCGTTCATGGCATTAAGGAAGGACATTAAAATGGCAAAATATACACAAATTTTTAAGACAAAAAATATACACTGCTGATACTCTACCAATATTCTCGCAGAAATCATTTCATAATAGGTGTTTAAGACTTCAGGACGTGACAAAACAAACTTGCCCACCAAGTCAACGGCTGCTTCTCTGACAGATGTTGAGTGGTCAAGAAAGGAGTGGTGCACACCCAGTTGCATGTCATTACGAGACAGAACTCCTGGATCTGCTTCCACTACCATAGTCAGGCACTTCATAGCCTTTGTGCGTACCGCAATGGCAGACTCTGTCAATACTGTCAGGATCTGTTGATGATACATTAAATAGGAGGAACAGTCAGAAATGGAAGGAATGCTGATTAAAGCAATATTTATGAAAAAAAATTATGTTCTTGTCGTACTGGTAAACCTTAAGAGGACTAAATATAGCACATGAAGGTTAAAAGAAACCCTGCTTAAGAGCTGTGACTTAATAATCCCAATAGCTTTCAAACACTGGACCAGCATAAAGTTACCCAGATCATCAGCTCAACTATTGCATCAATTATCTTATTTACAAAGACAGTGATGAAATAGATGTAAATACAGTGATATGTTCTTTAGCCAGAACAATTGGTGTAGAGCACTTTTAGGGATGAGAGATTTCCGGGTAACGAAACGACTCTCTCAAACCAGGAAAAAATTACCGGTCCCTGGAATTTTCTGGGTAACGGAAAAGTTTTCTCGGAAGTTCCAGAATGATGCATTATTTCATTTCACAAACCAGAAAGAATAAAAAAACACACCCCCGGAATTTTCCGGGTAATCGAAAAATTTTCTCGGAATTTTCCAGAAAATGTGCCCCTCAGAAAATAGTTCCCAAAGCTGGTCTTTTCCATAAAATTACGGCTTTAGGAACGATTTTCTGAGAATAATACCAATTCCGACTATCGGAGAGTTCTGGGTTTGAGGGATTCTGGCTAACGGAGTTATACTAATGCACTAATAATGACCGCAAATAAAAAGATTTTGCATGGGATAGTTGCTATGTGACTGAGAGTTAATGTACTCGAAGGCCTGTATTATCAAGTACAGTACGTACCTACATGTCACAAGACATGATATATAATATGACAGCTCAAGTGTCTACAGTAGTCCTCCAAAAACTCAGAGACATCATACAAGCTAAACCTTCCATGAGGTCTGGGTACTGTACTGTATATGGTGTCTTATTTTTTGTACAGGCACGAGTAAAGTCTAATCTTTCTGAGAATAAGGTTATTCTCTCCTTTACAATATAAAACTATGAGAGGATATTGTAGTGTTGTGGCACTTGACTACCGTCTAGAGCTCACGTGGGTTAGTAAGTGGTGCCACTGGTAGTACAAATTGTAATAATCTGGTGATGACTAATAAACGGGACTCTCCTGGTGGAAGCCCACGAGTTAACACTGCCTCTCCTTCTCCCCTGTATTCTCCCAATACTGTACACTACAGACATACAGTACATACATATATTGTGGCAAGTATACCTTATATAATACCAAAGCTAACTGGGTAATTGATTCCATTCCATTTCAAAGCTTTAGAACTGCAGTGGTACTGATGATAAGGGTAGATTACAAGTCACTTCCCAATACAGAAGGTTGTAAGAAGTGATGTGGTGCATGACAAGATAATATCTCAATACCCACTATTAAACTAACCAATTAAAAGACAACCTTAACACATTTTTGTATCACACTGACCTGCTTAAGATACACATCAAAGCTCTGTGAAAATGGTCTCTTTGATGCAAGGTATCTGGTGATGAGCTCAGCATTTTCATAGCCTATATGAGTTTGTAGAGTCTGTGTCTTTGCTCCAGGCGATGCAGGTGGGAAGGCTGGTACCTGAAACCAAAGGCACATTAGTCATGAAATAATTATAAGATACGAACTCATAAATAATCTACTTTTATTTATACATCATATCCACTCAATACTGTGTTAGCCTGTAAACACACGTCCTAATCTATCCATTCATCTGTTCACCATTAGCGATAAATAATTAAATTAACTTCTGAAAATGTTTTGTTTTTTCCACTGATACAAACTTTTCCCAGCTATACTGCTGGTTCACAAGGTAGGTCACCCCATCCCCTTGACAGGATGCTTGTCCACCAAAGGGTTGTTCCGCCGTCAGTTAGCAGACACAATAGTGCACTCATTTATTGCGAAGTATGTAAGCCAAGAAAGTTTTTATTTATTCATTTTGGTGTGCTATTAAACCTGTTTCACTTTATACGTGTATTTACAAAGGCAGATTTACGGTCAGTTAGTTACATTCTAAGCAGCTCATACATACACAAAACTCACCTAATACTGGTCCTTGACTTAAGTACAGTGTACCTTTTTTTTTATCAACTGAGCTTCTTCACCCTCTAAGGTATCATAAGGTTCAAGAAAAACCTGTGCACTGTATCTAGTTTTCAAAAACATTAAATATTGATAGTAAAATTGCTTGCAATAATTTTTTACTGAGGATGAAGTTATATATTTATAAAATACCTTTTTAAGAAGAAATAACTTTCTTTTTTCTGCAAGTTCTGTAACCTCTCTCACTAGTGCCTCATCTGCTTGCCCCACTTTCTTCCCCTCATCTTCATTGTCTTCGTCCGAGTCTTCACTGGTTTCGTCTTCACTTTCATCACCTTTTACAAAAGAAATAAACCAGAAAATTATTTAGAAAAATGAAAAAACTTAAAATTTGACCATTACTTGTCTCAGAAGTAAAGTTGGGTAGAAGCCTTTTTTTTTTTTCAAATCACATTACCTTTTCTCTTTCTCTTCTTCTTGTTATGACTCCCTGATTTTCTTGCACTAGGTTGTGGTAGAGGCCCTTGCTTTTG